AAAATAACAAAATAAACGGTACGTAAAAAGAATTGTTAACACGTTAAGCTATGGCGGAAAACGGTGAAAACGGGCTCACCACTTGTAAGTGTTGAAGCTAGACTTAAGATAGTCTTCGATATCACCACACTTACTAAAAACTTCACCGTCTTATGACTTTACGAGTACTCTACCTAACGTGTAAGTACTGATTAACTCAATCAAAGTTTAAAAGCTAACAATGGAAAGAATTCTTAGTATGAGTTGTATTTAACGTAACTGAATAACAGATTTAATAAATAAAGTGACTGTACAACTTATCTGCAGACGTTGCTGGAGGTAGGCTCGGAGAGTGTGCAAAAAGAGAGCACAACAAGAGAGCGAACCAATGAACGTACGGAAGACTCCCAAGTCAAAAAATAAAACGTGGATCACCGTGGGTGAGTCCGTTTAAACAAAAGTTCAAAGGCACAATGTGCACTACAACACTTTAGAGATGCCAGCTCCCGGAGAGCACATTCGTAGAGAAAAGTAGATTGCAGCGAAGTATCCAAATGTGGATGTGTCGATCGATACGCGGCAGAGTTGGTTGACAGAGAGGACAAGCGAGAAGCTGGGATAGAGGGAAGCTTCATCCCCCCGTGTTATGCGCGGGAACAAGGTTGTGTTTTTGTTCAATCTTATGTAACAACCACGAATTTCTTTGAATTCCTTAGTTTTTACTATTTTTCGATGAACATATAATTTGATATGTTTTTCAGCCACCACAAGGTACGATCAATTATGTTACAAATTACAATTGTGAATTAGCATAAATTAGCTCTTTTTTTTCAAAAGTTCAAACTGTTGAATACAAGCAATCAGAACTGATTCTTATAAATGTTAAATTATAAACCCTTGGAAAAGTTCACCATCCAAGTTGAGTGACAACCAAAACTTTGTTTCATTTCCTGATGATAAATACGGCCAATCGACAAACAAATATTTGAGTGAGTGCTATGCCCCCCACGTGATTGAACGCTATTTCAGGAAGAGAAAAAAATCCTACGTAGCTGCAAAATGGTATAAAATGTAGTTATGGATAATACATTATTGGAAGTATATTTACAAGACAAATACAAGAAGAAGTTATATAGTACGTGAAATGACATTTAGTACACATTTGCAATGTATGATGCTAACCGTATTGGTCCTACCGTGAAAAACTATGACGTTTTCGATGAAAATTTCAGATTTATTAAGGACCTTGAGAGTTGAGATAAAATAGAGTGCAATAGTAATTCGATAAAAGGACTGTAGTGAAGTATATAAGTGACATTTCAGAGAGAACTGGCTTGAAAGATTACGACCAGTTGGATATGCAGACCTGTTAGATGTCTGGCGAACTTGTGTATGGCCCATGGGGTAGCATCTTGGCAAAAGCTGAGAAGGCTTGTAGATGTTAAGAGCAAAAGCATTAAAAAAAAAATAATTTAAATCTGTGCAGTCAGTATTGTTTATTTTTTAAAAAATTATTTTGAAATTAATTTTTTTATATTGAGGATCTAAACTCATGTTTATTCCTCGAGCTGTCAAAAATGCATGTTGCTGTCCTACAGAAAGGAGCGATTCACATTTGTGACCTCTACCATATCTGCTGATCAGCATGCACCGCCCCCCCACCTTTTTTATATTAAGCTCTGAGACATTTTGCAATGACTGCAGTTGTAACATTACATTGCCTTGACCCCGCCACAAACATATAGTATGCTGAACATTAACAGCTTTCATGAAAAGTGCTTGCCATTAGGTGACACAGCACGACAATACCAGGGGGCATTCTTAGCAGTACTATCATCATACTAGTGAACAAGTGGATTACTACAAAAGGTTAGGAAATTAAGTTCCCATTAAGAGTTATGAAGTGTAGAAATAGCTGATATTACAACAACTAAGTTATCGACTGTTTAGCAGAGTGGACTGAGTAGTGGAACAATTGGTGATAAAGTTACATAGAGTGGTTCTGAGAAAAACGAATAGCAGAACTTGTTATGTCAAATTCTCATGACCGATTTTATATATATTTATTTATTGCAAAGTGACTCATCAACTGTATAATGGAAAAAATGTAACATAGCTTTAACACTATGAATTTTAGAAAATTGTATGAAAATGGGTAACTGTTGTCTGTCTGTCTGTCTGGTTTCAACATAGAACCTGCCACCGAAGTGCATCAGTTCGAGTTGCCACCTTCCAAATAGCACACAAAGGTAGATAAGAAGATGAGTGAAGATAATCAGTAGAGTTTCACAAGTATAAGAGTGAAACAGAATAGGTAATGGTAGAAAGGAATATGAAAGATTACAGAGACTGAATACATCTGCGCTGTCATTGACAACGATTTTGAGCCATGTCACCTATCGTCTCCAGTCATTGATTCTTAGAGTCAGTCCCGAGGGCCCCAACCCGGAAGTCTGCATCTCCCTACCTGACTCAGTTTAACTGTCAAGGATTTCATGGATTGATGAGGCCATGTTTTTGTTTGGCCACCACTTACTCTTTTCCAACCTGCACCTGTATCAGCCAATAATGCCCTTCGATGGGGGAGGCGATGGTTAGGCATGCGAAGCACGTGACCTAGCCATCTCAATTTATGTAACTTTATAGCCTCGTCGATTGATTTTCCCTCTTTGCCCAACACTACGCCTAACGTCATCATTACTTACCTTATTATACCACCTAACGTGAGAAAGAGATCGCAGACATCTATGATAAAAAGCATTCAACCTTTTCATGTCTTCAACTCGTATTGGCCATGTTTCAGAGCCATAGAGATGGACGGAGCGAACTGCTGAGCAGTACACACGTTCCTTGGTTGATAGCCGGATGTCACGCCTACGCCAGAGATGGCGTAAGTTAGCGAAAGCAGCTCGAGCTTTTCGGATCCGTGCTGAGATTTCTTCGCCAATCAGTCCGTTGGTGCTGATACAACTTCTCAAATAGGTGAAGTGGTCAACATGTTCTATCATTTCACTCCCTATCACTAAGTTAGGGATTGACGGTCCAGTCCTGTAGCAGCATCTTACTACATTTTGTAGGGGCGAATCGCATGCCAAACATACGAAGATTGCTGCTCAAGGTGTTCAGAAGACTCTGCTGGATTTTGTCAGCACCCTCCCCTAACAGGACTATGTCGTCTGCATATTCTAAGTCTATAAGACAATGCCCCGGTAACAAGTCGATTCCTAAGTCGTTACGTTTAGTTAAGAATACTTCCATTAGCATATCTATGATGAAGTTAAACAGGAATGGGGAAAGTGGACATCCCTGTCGGACACTGTCACAGTGAATTATACTAATAATATAAGTATATAAGTAAAATATTAATAGATATGGTTGTTAATATATTTGTTCTTGGAAATAATTACAATGAACAAACTTATTGAAGGTTACAGTGAAGAGAAAATCAGTGAGTTGGTTAAACGGTTGTTGCAGAGGTAGTAGTTGAAAGGTCATAAAATGTAACAGGTATAAAAGTTTTGAGTACTATGCTGCGAGACTACTCAGTTCAATACTTATTTTACTTACCATATCGTTTAATTCGTGACTGTAGCAGGAGTAAACGACTTCGAGGTCGTCAGCATGTAGGAATGCTTTACCTGAGGTGCAGTAGTTACAAATGCTATTAATGAAGACTGTAAATAACAGTGATCTTAGGACACTAATCCGCACAACCCCACTTGTGATCCACCTAGGATGAGATAATTCAGATGGGACTTCGGTTATCCGTACCCTGTTGCTTTGAAATGACTTCAACGAGTTCAGATATGGATTACGAATTCAACAGGAGTACAGCTTTACGAAGAGAACACTGTGAGATACCATGTCAAATGACCTAGATATATCGAAGCAGAGAACAACGACTAACTTACGTACCTCGAGACTGCTAGTGCTGCAGTTGGAAAGTCGAAGTGGCAAGCGGAGCAGCACCTATTTTTCAGAAATCCGTGTTGAGACCTTGTAACAAGATCTTACCTAAGTAGATCATAACCGACATACGAATGAAATGTGAGATAACAAGATCGAAACTTACCACAACATCACTTGGAATATATAAGTTACTTGGACATTATTTATAATCCGCCAACTAGCCTCCTTTCCAAAAAGAATGCGGCATAGTTTTATCCACAGTAGCGAGGAAATACAAAAATCCAAAGTTCCAGTTGTATACACTCAGTGGAGGTGGGAGCCAACAAAGCAATGCATATAAAGCATATGCATACTTCCCATAATCACGGCGATACTTTTCGAAATATGTCAAAATCATAGATTAATCAAACCCTATACGAGATGTATTTAACCAAATCCAAACTGCAAACAAGTAGTAGTACACATCTGAACATTGATCTATATGTCGATCATAATGACAAAATCCAAATCACTACCTATACAGTGCCAATGAACCTGGATATCTATGAAATTACGAAAATATGCTGACAGCTGCATTTAAGATCTCACTGTCTGATTCGATTGTGATATTCTGCTCTTGAATGCCTTATTTGACAATTTGTACGGATTGGTTCGCGGTCATCCTGGTTCCAGAATGAAAAGAATAAAAAATCCACCGGTTGCTGGATCACTGATACTTCTCTCCATGTTTAACTGGAAGCTAACTGTTGCGATTAGTTTTTTGCAGATTGCATTGATTAGAAAATTGTTTACGTTGAACTAACTAACGTTTTATAAGCCGTTTTATATACTTTTGTGAGTAGTCCACCATGTCGACCAAAATGTAACGCAACATGTTGCCATCGATGTCAACGAACCGGTGGGTTCTTGTGTTTTTCTGTAATTTAGGTTATACGTGCGGTATTTTCTTGATGGTTATTGATCATCCCTGTATTTCAATGTTGTTTTTTTACGATTTATCTTGGAATAGTTGTGACATAGATGGATACTAATTGATAATTTTATTTTAGTCCGTTGCAGGTAGTCAATTCGAGTGAAAGGCGCACAGACTTAAGTGGAATTTTTGGTGAATACATACTTGGAAGGCGTTTCTTGAGCTGGGATGAATTTGAGAAGTCATTAGCAGAATTCCAAAAAGTGAGGAAGTCATTTAATGCTAACAATATAGTTGTCCTGCACTCATTATGTTCATACTTATAGCAAAACGATACCGGATGACAGATTTAAGTACGCTTTTGTTGGTTTTAAATGCACTTTTGGAGTGAATCGTACAAGACCTGGATTGAAATTGAAAAATAAGTCGTAAGAAGAAGTGTAGTATTATTTCATGAATATTTCAGGTCTAAATGTTGCAATTGCTCGTCTTCATTTCGCGTGGTTTTGCGTTATAGTGAATACATAATTGCTTCCCACAATATGGTACATAACCATCCATGCAGCAGGGTGTACATGCAGAATGACCCATGGTATAGACGACTAACAGTTGAAGAGAAAGAAAATGTGGAACCACTTCTTCAGCAATCCCACTCATCCGATGAAATAATAATGCATGTTAAGGAGAAGTACCACAAGGATATAACTCGCATTGACGTTAAAAATATGAAAGCCGCAGTTACTAAAGGTAACGTTGACGTACTTGTTATATACTTAAGGTATTTCGAGTCGTCGTGACATTTTTGAATTCCTAAAATCCCGTGGGAAGTTAATGGAGTATTATTCCGATGAACCGATCAGGAATTCACTAACAAGAATTTGTTTTGCAACTTATGAGCAAATGGAATTGTATAAACAGTTCCCTGAAGTTGTTGGTATCGATTCAACGTATAATACAAATAAAGGGAAGTAAGTTTACCAATTCATTAATCAACGTGCAGGTATTCTTTGTTCCAGTTACTTGTGACGGATAATTTTGGTCGTGGACGACCGGTTTTATTTGCGTGGACTAGAAAAGAATTCAAACGAGATGTAGTTTGGATATTAGACTGTTTCCGTCAAATAATGGAAGACACCTCAAAAACAGAATCTTTCATTATGGATTGTGCGCAAGCTGAAATAGCAGCCGTCAAGTTAACGCACAGACAAGCGCACATTGTTTTGTGTTCTTTCCATGTTTGCCGAGCCTTCTGTCGTAAAGTAAGCTTTTCAAAGCACACTTTACATTTTATTCGTAGACAAGAAATCCCATTGTGAAGAACTATTTATGCCGTCTAGTGCAGTGTAAAAAAGATCAGAGTAATGCCTTTAATGTTCTCATTTTGCAGATTTAATTTCTATTTCAGAGTTTTTAGCAGATTGGATGCTACTGTCAGTCAATATCTACAACGTCGTTGGATGCATCGACGAGAATTGTGGGCAGCATGTTTCAGAGACAACGTGCTGACTTTTGGGAATGATACAAATAATCGCGTCGAGAGCTCCCACAAGCAAATGAAACGGTACTTGCAAAGATCTGATAGTCTGCATAAAAGTATGCTGAAGGTGTATAAATGGTATAAACGAAGTTTTTCAAGAATACAGCAGGAGGCGATTATTGCTCAGTCGCGATGCTTCACTTATCCCTGTTCACAACGTCTAATCCCAAGTATACGATTGCTGACGCCATACGCCGCGAGGAAGGTAATCCGTGAATACGAAAGGCGACGATGGGCTATTGTTGAGTTTGAATCCTTTGATTATGTATTCTTCAAAGAAAGTGGGAATAGAGTTGAGGTTGATCAGAGTGCTTGCACCTGCACGTGCTTTACATTACAGACCTGTCGGTACCCCTGCCGACACTTGCTTTTGGTCCATTTCAGAAAGCCGTATTTCACAGGTATATTTGAGTTTTTATGACTCCGTTTGTAATTTATGTCGACCGAAATTTAATTAATTAAGGTTCTTATATACGGAAAGTTGTAATTTTCATTAACCTATTCGTGTGTACATTGCCTTAAATGAAAACAAGACACAAGCACTACCATCATTGCACATGTAATATTCAGTTCATAGTTATCTTTACGTTTTCTGTTTCCCCTTTTGTAGTTAACCATGTGATGCAGAATTGCAAACAATGGGCGTGGTCACTCAACTTGTTCGCATCTCAATGCACGTCAGCTGTTGTCCCTCGAAATCGAAGTGCCCCATTGGAAACCTATATAAGTATTATAAATGCGGGCATTAGGAAAATTAATGACAAATTTGGTGAAGTGTTTGCCAGGAATTATTCAGTAGAAGTAATCGCAGGAATCAATCGTACTCTGAATATGTAAATAAACTGAATTTGTATCATAATTAAAATAAAATTTTCATGTCAATCTTGTTGTCTTTCGATTCATGTGTTCCCTTATTGAGCACGGCATGCTAGACCGGTGCTCTCTAGGACTTTAACTATACGTAAGTGTAATTGCGTAGAAACGATGTCGGTCTTCATGCGTGTTAAATTATAATTATTTTAGTGAAGTTACCTGGATACGTCTCATAGTCATATAGAAGTCTTTAGGGACAAATGACAATAGTAGGCATAACTTAGGCACTGCATTCAAGTTCCAGTTCTTATACGGTTACGTGTATTCTAAAGTATTGCATTACTAATGTTTCACTTAAAGCGTGATGTCATCCCATATGGCTAAGGCTGTTAACATGCAGCGTAAATTTAAGTCTACACGAGACAAGTTATTGAATTCGTTCAGCTGTAGCACTCGTAGTTAGATTTACCTTACACTACTATATGCCACCAATTACTTCGTCAGGTCTCATTAATAAGTCGCGCCTGCATCTAGTCATCATGACAAATATATCTACAATCAGATAGAATAAAAAAGGTCTGGTAAGTAGGATGTTAAATATATTTAATCAAAAATAATAACAAGCAAATATCTTTACGCAGTTGTTCGTCGTAATAATTTGGACAATGTCGAATCAACGTGACCGGGTTGAATGACGTTACCGGATATCTGCAGAAAAGTAAACAAAGAAGTAGTACTTAAGTTAAACGCTTTAGATTTGCCTACCTTTGCTGAAAATGGTTCATTCTCCTTTCTCATTCTTCGTTCATGACAGCATTCTTCTGTGGTTTTTACTGTCACATATGTTGTTCATTTTCTAAAGGATAGCAGCAAGCAAATAATAATAATTAGAACAGGTTATGATAAGAGTTAAATTGTAAACCCTTAACAATGAACACTGTACATTTGGCTAAGTGCTATGTCCTTGGAATGTTAGTATACATTTGCAATGTTTAATGCCAACCATATCGGTGTAAGCATAGAAAGTATGACGTTTTTTTCATTGATTTACAGCTTGATTCCACACTGTATTTTTGGTACAAGTATGGAATTTTCAGCATGGATATCGGTAGCCCAAATTTTGCAGGCCGACCATAGATATCAGGTGTGCGCCGGCGTGGGCTCGAACCCCGGACCATTTGCATGGTCGGCGAGAGTCCTAACCACTGTGCCACCATGAAAATACAGCTTCGTTCAAACACTGGTGCTGTTGTGTTTTTTAATAAAAGCAACTAGACTGTAAGCAAGAAACTAATAGGCACAAAAAGTAAGTCTCAGCTTTAATAAAGGCATATCCAGTTAAGATAAAATGTATTGTAATAGTGCACAAATGAAAAGACCATCGTGAAGTATATAAGTGTATATATATATATACAATTCCTAAGACAACCTAACATGTAAGATCTCTCACAAATTTCTGTAGGGCCTGTGGGGTACCATGGATGGTTTGCCGTTAATCTGAGCTTTTGAAGGATGATTTACAAATGCAAAAGGTAATAACCATCGAGACTGAGGTAGTATTTTCTAGCTGTTCGGCATTTTTTCCTTTGAGGCAGTTTCTTATCAACAGTTTGCAGTATTCATAGTGAGTTTATAGGAACCTTCATTGTATCATGATTTTCACCAAATATCCCTTAACTCACAGAAGCAGACAGTAACCCCATACACTCAAGCATTGTAACCAGAACATCACAAAATGCTTACAGATAACTTGTTTAGTAATAACTGCTTTAAATATGAGCTATAAGTGCATCTTCCATATCTTTCATAGCCACAATTAAGTCATTAAGGATCTCAGAATATCTTAGTGATCTGAAACAAAATAATTATTAAGATAAATATAACCCATGTAACAGGTGTGGTAGTTGTATGACACAGCTGCTAGCTACTAATCAACAGAAAGCTGATACTCATTTTAAGTACTAGTACTTAATGTCAGAGCTCTGACATTAAGTACTCTGCCATTGCCTGTAGTATATTTACAACCTTAAGATTTAAAACAATGTAGTAATTTATTGCACTTGTAATATTAGTATTTCGAGATGACTGAATTACACGAATCCAACCAAAACTCAGAGAGGGCAGCAATCCGGAATTTGTATTTAGCGGAATTATTATGCAATTCATATATGAAATATTAACAATCAACAGTAAGTATTTAAACAATACAGAGATAGAAATTGTTGTGAACATGTCATTCTGAACGACAAATATCTAGTACACATCAAACATGGAAGTATCCGACTTGAAATACTCAGTTGAATAGTACAAATGCATGTCAATTTGTTCGAAATAGTCAGTTGAAATATTCCACATATTTCTGCGTATATGTGACATGAATACACCCTGCCGACGCATTTTTATCTCTCCTTTGTTACTGTTTTCCTCATCCAATTTTGTCCTACTTGTCATTAGTGAGTAGTGTGAGTTTTGTATCATTTCTGTAACCTGTCGTTACTGCGTAAAAATAACTAGTGTTCAATATCTGAATTTTTCTCACCTATCGTAAACACATTATTTGTGGGGATGAGTAACAGGTTTAACAACATCAGGATAAAAAGAAGACCTTCATTGTTGAGGAATATCGACAGGTATTCCTCGTGTACAGACTTCGCGAAATGATAACAGTTGAAATAGGATTTCTTCTCTTCGTTGTCGCCTCTATACTTCAGAAACTACCCATAGTGAAAATCAAAGATATTGTTACACCATGCTTCACGGATTTCATTTTATCACACACAAAGTTTACAAATTCAAGTCGGTCTGAAAATGTCTCATATTAGATGTCGAATCGTACGCAAATTCATCAAGTGCACAACAATTAGAAATCATTGATAAAGTGGAATCACTTCATGAAGAATGTGGGCATAATATCTAATCATCGAAATGTCAACAACAAAAGGGTTGAAGTTGAACGAGCAAAATAGCGAAGCTTTCGCATGTTTATTCCACAATGCCTGACACTCACGCAATTGTGTGATCGCTGGCACTCAGCTTTCGATGACAGCAGGACTACTGTAGAAATATAAGACAGAGAACAGTTTGATGAACATGTGGTCGAGCAAAGTATTTCCGTGATTCAATCAAACTGTTCTAACAATTCAGTGTCTCCAAGATTCTTCAGAGCGCCTGATGTTTTCCGCGATATATCTGAGCGCTGCTTCAAGTTTGCCCAATAAATCTGCTTCCTAGGTCTAGTAACACACAAAAGAGACCATAGCAGCATATTTTCAAACCATATACCTTCACAGTGTATACTTGGGTGATGACATTCTTTTCTCAACTAAATGACATTCTGAGTTGATAGCCCGATGAATATAGGCTGGTTGGAATTGTGAGCAGGAACATCGAAGTTAATAGTATACTTGTCAGTAGAATCCCCAATGTGAACTCGATTATCTGCCTGATTCTGTGATACTTAACCTTTTTGTGGTGACATAAAAATCAACAACTCGCTCAAACATTAGGTGTCACCGACTGACTGGAAATACTTGTCCGTTGAGGGAAACATTTGCTTCTGTCCACTCTTATCAATCAGCTGACCTCCGACAGTGGAGGAAGTCGGTTATCTGAAGTCTGTTGGAAGTACCTTTGATACGACGAGCGAAACCTTGCTGGAACATAAATTATCACCGACTGACTGGACATCCTGGTCACAAACACAAAAATTGTAGGCACCCACGCATAACTCAACGTCTCCTCCTACAGTTTGTCAACTCGTGCATCTCACCTATTCTACTTTAATCTTCAGCCTGATTCGTCCCTGAATTGCTTAATACAGCCTCTGTCATACTTCGTAGAACTCTGAAGACTGTCAGTAGGGCAAGTGGTATCCCATTTGGCCATACCGTTGAAATCGTCATTGACGGCCACATGATGTCATGCAAAACATTTGCTGAAGACATCTTGTCACACTGTATGAGTCCGCCTTATCCGCAGACCAAACCTTGTGTCTCCTCAGATAAAATAAGGAGTCTTTTCAGAAGAGTTTATCCACGTACGTCTAAGTATAAAAATTCAACTAGGCCATATTTGACGGCACTTACTTTATGTCATGAAAATATTGTCAGGCATGAACTAACTAACCTTCTTTGCAGTAGTAAATAAACCGTTTTATCCACTCTCACAACATCAACGTCTACTGCTATTGTACTTCTTATATTTATGATCTTCTCAATTTTTGTTTTTTATTTATTTGTTTTTCATATGTGGGAACGTCATTTGAGCTGTGTTAAAACTGTTAATTTTGTATTTCCTCTAACCATACCGAATCAAAAGGACATTAGATTCAATACTCTATAACATGAT